GCCCATGCCCTTGTAGATGTACTTCATCAGCACGTCGAGGAGCTCGGCGCCGCCGGGCGAGCCGTAGATGCTCTTCAGGAGAGGGGTCATCTCGGACGCCTTGATGGACTGGAGGACTTCGGTGATGGTCTGGAGGTGGGCGTCCTGCGTCTCCCGTTAGCACTTGACGGCCGCGACATCACAAGCCCACAGCCTCTCAAAATAAAATAAAAGACCGGCTTGGGAAGTGCTTGTTTTGGTTCGTTGACGAACAGGGGAGCCAGCATACCTTAGCGGCGTCGGGGCCGTTGTAGACGGGGAACTCAAGGCAGCCGCGCAGTGCGCCCTCGGGGTCGCCGCCGCGAAGGAGCTGACGGACCTGGCCCGCGAGTCCTCGGACCTCTGCCTCGCTGACCTCGGGTTGCGGAGGGTGCAGCGTCGAGGTGTCAAAGTTGTAGGGCGAGTCCTCCTCGAGGGCGTCGATGTTGATGGTGCGCCATTGGTCGCCGAGCGACGCTGAGGTGTGTTGCTGAATGATAGACATGGCCGGGTCGGTGCTGATCTCGGTATGCGCGGGTTTGGTGCAGGATGAGCAGCCCTTGGATCTGACGAGGAGGACGTCGGGGGAGGGGCGCGGTATCGTTCCTCGGATGGGGGGTGGTCTCGTGGGTTGGTGGTGGGGTGAAGCTGGGGGATGCGTATGCCTTAGTGCGTGACGTCGTCCGGCGTGGTGGTTGGTTGAGGCTGAGCTCTCCAGAAGAGGTGGCACCTTGGGGGAGCTGTAGCACGTGACGCCCTTTGGAATCGAATTGCCTCTGTCAGACTATCACCATTTCATTCTCGACTCCATCTGGAAAATGTTCAAGTGCGTAGATTATGCCTAATAAACGACATCATCATCAATTGTATGCGTACAAAAGGTGTTTGTAGGGAGGCGACCTGAAAGACATTCTCAAGAGACTGAAACTCAACGCGGAACGACGAGCAACCAATCAATTCCACCTCCATCTTCAATGTCGGGTTCTAAAATCATATTGGTTTTCTCCAGCTGGACCAGAACGATACTTCATTCACGAAATAAAGTTTCCTCTCAGAAACTCGCAAATGAAGAAATTGAGATTGCCTGTCGCGCTTCAACGCAAGTTTCTCAGTAACGAACACGCCTGAGAGGCATGCCTACAGTCACAATCGAAACACTCGCCGCATTTCTGGTCAATGTGCGGTACTGTAATATTCAATGCAAACATAGGTCTGAACGTCCATCGCCTCCCTTACGGATACACACAGGCGGGCCTATCTCTGAGCCCCCATTACCAACTGCACACACGCCTGCTGGCATTGCCCCCATGAAACCCGACTCAGCCTCACCAAGACTTATCAGCACTCTCATGCGTCGATGAGGTTCTCCTCGTTCTGCTGCACCTGGTCACGCTGCTTCTGCTTGTCCTTGGCCTCCTTCGCCGCCCTTTGGTAATACTCGTTGAGGATCTTGGCGGGGATACGGTTGAGCAGGTCCTTGGGGTAGATGCGGAGCAGCTCCACGCGAGATCGAGCGACTCGAAAATGGTGCGTGCCTCGTAGGGTCCCTGGGCAATGAACTGGCGCTCAAACTTCTCCAGGAACTCGAGCGACAGCTTGTCCTCGTTGGACAGAGCCTCCTCACCGACGACAGCCTTCATGGCCGCGGCGTCACGACCAATAGCGTACTTGGCGTACAGCTGGTTGGAAACATCGCCGTGATCCTTGCGGGTCATGCCCTCGAAAATAGCAAAATCATGAGACGAGAGAACGACAGACGAAAAAGATGGGAGGGTAAATACCACGATTGTACAAGGATCGGTCAACGAAAATATGGCGATCCGAGATGTAACCAGTCAGATCAAGAATGGGGTGGGTAATGTCCTCGTTGGGCATGGTCAGAATGGGGATCTGGGTGATGGACCCGTTACGGCCCGAGACACGACCAGCTCGCTCGTAAATAGTCGACAAATCCGTGTACATGTAACCCGGGAAACCACGACGACCGGGCACCTCTTCACGGGCGGCGGAGACCTCACGAAGAGCGTCGCAGTAGGCGGACAGATCCGTAAGAATGACCAGAACGTGCTTCTCGAGCTGGTCGCGCGTAGTATTCGGCGGTGGTGAGGGCGAGACGAGGGGTAATGATCGCTCGATGCTGATTGCTTGTAGCTCATGCCCGGGGGTGCACGCCGAACCTGACATACGTAGGGTTCGTTGGCCAGGTTGAAGGAGAATTTGCCCCGCTTCCAAGACTGGCCTTCTTCCTTCGAAATCGCGGAGTGGAGGAACGGGCTGTCTCAAAGTTTGACACCCCATGGCCACCGAAAACGATGGAGAAAGTTCTTCTTTCGTGACCATCCATGCACGCCCTTGTTGGTGACACCCCTGTTGCTGGACCAGGCTATACTGTCGGCAAATCTGCGCAGCGATTTCGTTGTGAGGCAGACCGGCGGAGGAGAAGATAGGAATCTTCTGGCCACGCGCAATCGAGTTCATCGTGTCGATGGCAGAGATACCGGTCGAGATCATCTCCTCGGGGTATTCCTGAGGAAATTAGCATGGTGTTCCTTCTACAATGGGGGCAGCTTGCGATGACATACTCGGGAGAAGGGGTTAATGGGACTGCCGTTGATGTCGAGGTACTCCTCGGCGAGGACCTTGGGGCCCTTGTCAATTGCGCGACCAGAACCATCGAAGACACGACCCAACATGTCCTCGGACACTCCGAGCTTCAAGCTCTGGCCGGTGAACTCGACTTTTGTCTGCGCATTGTTTAGTGGGGGTGGCTCCTGGTATTCGTTGGAGGGGCCGCCATACCTTCTTCACGTCAATGCCGGTGGTACCCTCGAAAACCTGTCCAGCTATCAGTCAATGTACCAGATAAGGTATAAACTCGTTGATGCTTGCGCACCTGAACAACGGCTCGGTCACCTAGGGCTTCATGTCAGCATGGCAATCGTGCGGATGGCATTATTGGGTAAATACCTCGAGCCTCGAGAACCTGGCCAGATCGCTGCGTGCCATCGGGAAGGGTGATGTTCACAATCTCGTTATACTTGGGGTATTTGACCTGCTCGAATGTCAGACTCTGTATGCTGGGAACGAGTGTCGGAGGGTTGTGGAACGGACATTCTCGAGGATGACCAAGGGGCCGTTGACGCCACCGACAGTGTTGTAGCGAATTCGGGGCAGGATGGAGTAGGAGGACGAGTCTCGCGGGTCCGACATGGTGGGCGGTTGTGTTGCTGACCAGCGCCCTTAGAAGGGTTTTTTTGGAAGGGGATGCGAGGCGAGGCGGGAGGGCGGGAAGGGTGCGGTCGGCGATGAGGGACGGGGACCTGGTTCGGCTTGAGAAGCAAGGCGATGCAGCAATGCAGCTGGAGGAGAGGTTGGAGTTGGAGCTTGCACTGGGCCCTCCGCTCCACTGGCTGTCTGGGCGGTGGAGGCGCGCCGCGGTGCGCAATGGTGCCTCAGCAGCAAGGAGGCAGCTGCCCGAAT